GTTGTCGCAATGATGTGTGACTGTGAGATAAAACACAAACCTTTATCTAAAAAACTGCACTTATTATTTTATATTCCTTACATGTTCCCGCTCTGGCTATCAATTAAAGTGTTTCGCAATGTGCTCTTAACAAAAATTCTATAAGCAATTACAAATTTGAATATTGGTCACAACAAAATACAGTTAATAGTTTTACATTGATAGAAGAGTATTTTCGTTCATCCACAGATTATTCTATTGTGTAGAAATACAGTTAGGTATAGCAATTTGCATTAATACATTACTTTCATTTTACTTTTGTTGCTTTCCTTCGATCCAAGAAAAATAGAAAGCAACCAAAATTAAACTGATAAAAATAAAAAAATACAGATAATAGTTTTACATTAATAGACGAATAATTAGGTTTAGACAACCTTACTTGTCTCTTATGCGAAAATTTTTCGTGTGTGGTTTTTTCACTGGATCTGGAGATCTGGTGATCCCTAGCATCTTCAATGCTTCAAGTCCACAACAGCGACATTACCTGTAATATAGAACACGAAATAATAAAATAATCAAATGTATTTAATTTAAACATCAACATACAAATACAAAGAAGAGATATTTAAAAGTAAAAAAATCTATATACTTTGCTCCAGAAGGCTATTAAATACCTAGCACATTATATCCTTTGGCGCTACGCGTCTCAGGTTGTGCTCGGTATATAATAGCTCACTTCTCGACCTAGGTATATAATATACTACTCAAAATAATACTTAAAAGGAAAGTTGAAATTCGATTTTCAACTGCTAATACTTTTTAGAAAAAAAATTCAATATTTTTCTCGTACTCTTTAAGTGAGCCTCGATAGTCTTTAAAAGAAATGACGCCAATTTTTAACTTTCTGCGCGCAAAATACAACTGATACTGCTCTATTACTCAATAATGTGGTTGGCCCTGGACGAAATTTAGTAACGTATTCTCTTAAATAATGGCTTTGTTTTGAGGTAACAAAAGGAATTGGAGTGTTGCGGTGGTGCTCGAAGGAGCAAATGATCGTGTGACTCAGATTAATAATAATTCGGTCGTAGCGTGAGTTAATACGTCATTATTCGCAATAGCACTTTTCTTGTGACTTTTAAAAACATTTATTATAACATGGGTGCCAAATATTTAGTATTACATTGACTTTTTGGTAATAAAGTTGGATTTCTGCAGAACTTAAGCCCTTATGCATCAGTCGCCGCTGGCAGTCTGTCATGAAATGACATGAAGAATAAGAGGATTTCAACACTGATTGATGTTGTAGTGCCTCGAATTGAATAAAAATATCTCTAAATCTGATAAGCAAGTGTAGGTTGAAAAATGTATTAAAAACAAGAATGTAGGTTTTGTATAGGATTAAAAATTTCATGTGACATTAACATGTTGGTAAGTAATCTTGGGAGCGCCGCTTCTAGAATGCATTTCAGAACTATTTTTGGCGAAGTACCAGTTTTCTCCCCTACACGATTTCATTATATTAATGAAAAATAAATAAATAAAATGTTTATTGAATTTGTTCTGTTCCAGCTCAAGTTTAAATCTTCATTACTCCGGCCAAATGCATAGTATTTCTAATATATCTGAAAGAGAAGGACATTATACGACGACTACGCCCCCTCCTCCACCACTACCCCCGCCACATCAACAACATTCTCAATCACAATTATCTCCGGTGACCCCCTCTCATGGAATTCCTAGGTTTTTGAGAGCATTTTTGCCTAATCAACAAAGAACTTTTGTGCAAATTAGAGAAGGCCTAACGTTGCAAGAAGCATTAGAAAAACCGATGAATCGACGAAATCTGAATTTTGATATGTGCCGTGCTTATCTAGGAGAAGCAAACTCCAATCAGTTAGTAAGCTGGCAGGCAGACATTAGTAGTCTGGACAATGACTTAATTACAATTAAAATAATAGATAAAATTCCAATTCCTACTAGTATCTCACACAATTATGTAAGAAAGACATTTTTTTCGATCGAATTTTGTGAAGTGTGTAGAAAGTTAGTGTTTTCCGGGTTTCACTGTAGGACGTGTGGATACAAGTTTCATCAGAAATGTGCTACTGGCGTTCCGCCAATCTGTCATTTGGTAAGTCATCTCTTAAATCTTTGAGCCAAGTAGTATTTTCAGTTTTGAGTTTTGGCTAACTAGATTAGATGATGAATAAGATCAACAATTAATTGTTTTGAACAAAATTGTTGTTGAAAAGAACGACATTTGAAACATGATTTAAATCTTGATTCATTACAAATTCACTTTAGGCCCCTCGCGGCGCTGTAAAGCTTTTTCAGTTCTTTGCCTCTTTTCTTATGTAGCTCTCCCGCTGAAGCTCACTACACACGGACCGACAAATCGTTACGTGTTAACTATGCAGTCCACACTGTAGAAATTAATCGAATGTATGGTTGGTAAAACGGTGCAGATTTTTCACTGTTCAAGTGGTCGTTGTAAAAGTGCAGCATGCCGTTCGGAAGTGGGCCTCGGTTAGGTCTGACCGATCGTTCGGTTAAAAAGTGTCGGATGTACCTTTTGAATGTTAACTTAAACAGAAAAACAGAAATTATCATGTGTTACTACAACTGCAAACAGGAATTATTCTGTTCTACTACCTTGATGAAGGACAAGCAGCAAAAACACCCTTCTGTCAAAAATCTATTATTTAGCGTTATGTTAGAGTTTGCGCCCTTGTTCTTATTTTTGGTCGCTTTATAATACCGCGTTCAGACCTGAAGACTGGGACACATTCATACGATCAGACTACGATCATACACGCAGACGAAGATCTAAGAGAGAAATGGTGCTAGACTTTCAATCGCGTAAATGCTGCAAGTTCACATCTTTTCGCTACCAGTCCGAACTGTATCCGTTCTTGTACCCTTTATGTTCCGATTATCGTGGCTATTCGATGTCTCTTTATTATCCATTAGAGGGAAGAGCGATTATCCATTAGAAGAAAGCGCCGGGCAAGACGGTATAAAAATGAATTGCTCAAATACGGTGGGCAAAGACTAACAGAAGAATTAACAACTTTAATACAGAAAATTATATATCAACACAAAATCCCAGATGAATGGCGAACCAGCACTACTGTGCTAATGTTCAAAAAAGGGGATAAGAGAATACCATCAACCAGGATCTACAAAACCGGCGTGAGGCCAGTTATGACATATACCGCAGAAACCAGGCCAGGAACAGCCAAAGACTCCTAGAGATAGCTGAGATGAAAATACTCTGTAGAATTACCGGGAAGACACTGCTGGATAGAGAGAGAAGCGAGGATGTCAGAACAGCCTGTAATCTCAAGACCATCAATGAATGGGTAGCAAACAGGAAGAAGGAATGGACTGAGCACATACACAAGATGGACCACCCCAGACTTGTGAGAATCGCTCGCGACATGTCCCCATTGGGACGAAGAGTCGTTGGTCGCCTCAGGAAACGATGGAGCGACAGCCTCACGCAAGTGAACGATAATTGAACAGGCGATTTGCCTAAAATCAAGAATGACGAAGAAGAAGGGAAGAAAGCGATTCCCGTTGTTAGGTTTGGTTGGTGATATCTTTTGGTTTGTTTTTATTACATTTGAATAAATGAGCATAAAACCTGAGGCGCTTGTTGAAGAAGTGCGGAAATATTCGGTACTGTTTGACCAGGCCAGAGAGTAGTACCGAAACTCCTCAAATATTGGTAATAGGTATAAAGTCCTCAAAAAAACAAGCAAACGGCGGCTTGCAGTTAATGCTTTTCTAAAATACGTGTCTTGTTTAAATATGTTTTCCCAAAATGCTAAACGCCGACATGCACATTCTAAAATACTGGTAGAATTCTCCATCGTCGTCCAACATGAAGTCCGACTATCGGAGCCGAAAATCGGAACGACGACAGAAGAGTTAAGGCGTGCCTCCTACTTTCCGTTCTCGCACCGATCTGATTGTTTGGGCATCGACAGACGATACTCTGATTGCAGTAGTGACTAGTGATGACAAATGTGTCCCAGCCTTTAGGTGACGCAAGCGCAATGTGAGCAAGACACAACCGCCACACTATGTGTCTCAATTCAAATAAAGTGTCGTAAGACGTTAGAGCGTCTATCAACTGTAGCTGAAGACGGTCTAAATATAAAAACTGAACGAAAGCGGCATATATTTTATAGAAAGCCGTAGACTATTAAATACTAAGCATCAGAAGCAGAAGAACATGCATGATAGCTATAGCTGGTAAGGAATGTACCAACAAGAGTAAAATAGAATCAGAGCGAAGAGCGAAAAGGGCGAAAAAAAGATATTGGGTTGGGATAAAATAAATCAATCAGCTTTTCCGTAGATGGCTGTTATTATGGATATCTTCTAAAGACTAGCTATCACTTTTAAATTGATGCTCGTTGAAAAGGTTTTAGTCCATTCAGTTGTTACGTTGGACGTCAACACAGGAAAAATTCCGTACATTAGTTTTTCTTTGGTAAAGGGAAAAATGCAAGCGATTGAAATTGTGAATGATGTTGATGGCCTCAATGATGTAATAGCAAATTACTCGTAATCAGTATCATGGATTCCGTAGTAGCAAATGTCGACAAAATCACAGAAATAATTGAAATTAACCAGTATGTTATCAGTCGTAGCTGAAGCCAAGGAGCTAAATGTGTACAAATCTGGATTAAAAAAGAACCTCGATTTTTACATGCCACACCAATTGACACAAAATGAATCAATGTCCATTTCAAAACTTTGGTCAAATTCGTCAGGTTTGATCCTTTTTTTTAATGGATGGTGATTCAAATGAGAAATGGGTAACATACAACAATGTGCAAAAACCATCGTGGTTAAAGCGGGTTCTGCGGTGCATTTGGTGAGCCTGAAAAGGAACTATTTATTACGTGTACGAGTTGCTTCCATATGGCCAAACACTAATTGGGCTAATAATAATAGCTAATAATAAAAATTGGGATCTCTGCTGTCGACAAATGGAAATTTTGGATGTAGAGATTGACCAAAAACAGCCTTCATTGACCCGACAATCCCGACAATACTGTAGTGGCTCATCGGAAACTCCATGAGCTTGATTGACTTGTTTTGATGCATCTACCAGCTAACCCGGATGTGACACCAAGCGATTACTATGTTTTTAGAGATATGAAATTGGTATCCAGAGAAGATTGTGAAAATCAATTATAATGATTTTTCGCTAATAGGGAACAAGACTTCGATGAGAGAGGCATTATGAGGCTTTAAAATGGTTAAACAAAACAAATTATAAACGAAAACTGTGTACGGGAATGGTGAAAAGGGCCTCTAAGGCCTACTCGCTGGACCCATCGGGTCCCCCCACAATACTACTACTTCCTCAACCTACTATAAAGGTGAAAACTGACTGTCACACTATATGAATGAACATGCTTTTCTGAAGTAAAAAGGGTGGAACAGAAAAACCTAAACAAAGCACCTATACTATTTTGTTCCATACAAAGGAAAATGGCTAATGAAGCACTAAAATTGTAGACGATGGAACAAAGCTAGTCCAACACATCAAATCCAACAGTCATTGAACCAGTATAGCTAATTTGAACAGACGAATAATATCAGTGAACAGAAGAGCCGAAAATAATAATATCAATGAAATCGGCAAAAACTGAAAGATTACGAGGACCGTCACGAACATAGAGAACTTTTTGACAAAGTGAAGTAGATACCTAGCAAAGCAACTGAGATTATTCAAGATAACAGGGGGAAAACCATCATCAACCCCCATCAGCAATATCGAAACTAAATGTTATATGGTGATGATGAAGCAGCAGCTGCAGAAGAAAGTAATGCGAAGAAATCCAAATATTTTGAAATGAGAATTAGAAAGCTCGTTAAAGAAAAAAAAGTAGATCTGCAGAAGACGGAATAATCGCGAAAACACCTAAGGAAATTGGAAGAAAAAGAGAGAAGTTGAGACGGAAATAATCTTTAGAGTGCGAAATTAAATCTAGAACCTGGGGAAATTACCGTAAGCCTATTGAATTCTTATTTACCGCTGTACGTACCGAACGATAGGTGCGATTTCTCTCACGTAGCCAACACACAACATGCATATTATCAACTTTTCTATGTGTGTTCTTGTTCTAAGGTGTTTTACTCGTGTTACTAATATACAAACTAACATGTTCGTTTATTAACTTAATGGATTTTTTGCTTTGAAAACAAACCGTGAAAAAAGCTTGTTTTAGTTGCATCCCATAAAAAAGTTTCAAAATTGTAAAGAACCTAACGAGTGTTATTGCTGTATAATGCCGCAATTTTGTTCTAAAATATGCTTATTTCGGTTAGCAACAAGATGAACATTTTTCAAAACAGACAGGAGCGTTTTTACAGATAAATATTAAACACTTTTTTACAAATTTCAACATACACATAGTAATGTTACGGTATACTGTTCTCTTTAGGCCAGAAATTCAGAAGCGTTCTATCGATACCTTTTGTCACGACCGATGGAATCAAGCGCCGGAATTCTTCAAGTGGGTTCAGCTCATAAGATCACTAAACAGCAACCTGAACGTCAACCAGGCAGTCTTGGGCAACAGGATAGATCCAGTTCGGCACCTAATGTTTGCCTGAATAGTGTTAAAGGTTTGTAGGTTGAAACTGATTAACGCAATTTATAAGTTTTCGACAAAACTCTACAAAAGTAAAAAAAATCCAAATCGAAAAGGTCTTCGATAAAACACCTGAATCACCGATGCGGAAAAAATGGTCTACTGTCTTTAATCGAGAAGAAAATGTGCACCTGCTTTCATCATTAGCTTATCCTTGTCCACTGCTGGACATAAGCCTCCCGTAAATTGACCTACAAAGTTCGGTCCCGAGCCGTCTGCATCCAATTTGCACTTACGCCTCTCAGATCGCCTGACCATCTAGTTGGGTGGTCGTTCTCTACTCCTTAGATCATCCGCTCTTGGTCTCCATTCCGTAATGCGTTTTGTCCATCTATCATTCGTCATTCCGGCGATGTCTTGACCAATTCCATTTCAGCCTTATGAAAACTTTATATCACAAATTTAAACCGCTTAATATCCTGTCATTTAATAAGAATAGCAAATACCCAGTAACAAAATGATTCAATTTGCTCTCCTGAAAATAACGCTTTTTTGAGATGTTCTCTTCTTGCGAAAGATATATACGCTCTTCTTGCGCGTGAACGATATAATGGACTTTTCCTATTCCAGAGCATCTAAATATACAAGGTGGCATTTTGAAAACGAACAATGGGCTGTAAGTACATACAGAAAAAAAATGTATGTGTGGCCTGGCATACTAAGAAATAAAATAATTGGGCTTTTTATCAATGGAAACTTAACCAAATCTATGAAGAGTTGGCCATTGAACCCCTCATAAGTTCTGAGATACAAAATTAGAGGAAGGGTAATGGAAGTCTAGCTATGGATGAAAATTTGCTGCATTTTCAACAAAACGATGCGTGTTTATAATTTAACTTGACTCTCAGACTCTATTGAAGACCTTCGGTAAAAAATCTGCAATGTCCAGCTATCCCTAAAGAAGCCTAAGAATTTTGAAGCCGGCAATATTTTTGTTTAGAAACTCTTGGTCGACATTTTGGGCAAATACTGCGAAGGTATCATTCCTAAATTTATTAGGATATTTATAGAGACATATTCACTCATATTGCTGAGTCACCTTGTATTATAATTTCCAATGCATTAAATTGTTCACACTAAAATATTATATGGTTTTGTGTAATAAATTTATGTCTTATTATTCATATGCAGTTCCTGATAGAGGTCTAGAAAGGGTTAGGCCTTTTCCAAGTTTAATGCAACCCTATGGCGATGATGCACCACACTGTAGAAGTACACAGGCGTCACCTACTGGAACACACCACCCGAAAAGACCGAGAGCAAGGTATATACTTGAAAATTTTATCTGATATACAGGGTGTTTGGTAAGTAGATGCATTCCTTGTAGGAGGTGATAGTGCAAGTAATATTGGATATATTTCCTTAATAGACCATATTTCGAAAACTCTTAGTTTTCAATCTACAAGGTGTTGAGGTTTCTATTTAAAAAATTATACTTATTAATATTGCGGAAACCGCTTGAAAACATTTGTTTCTTAAAACTTTAATACCCTGTAGATCGGTAACTAAGTTTTCGGAACATGGTCTATTAACGAAATATATCCAAAATTACTTGCACTATCACCCCCTGCAAGGAATGCATCTACTTACCAAACACCCTATATATAAGTTGTCTGAATCTGAAGGATAAATATTATCTATAAAGACATAGAAACAGTGATAACTTGATGTAATGAATGATTTTCTTGCAGATCTGCAGATGAAAGCAAACCGCTTTTAGCAGCTCGTGAAAGTATTGAAGATTGGGAGATACCAGCCGATGAAATTCTTGTAGGTGCAAGAGTAGGATCCGGTTCATTCGGAACTGTTTATAAGGCACATTGGCATGGTCCAGTGGCAGTTAAAACACTTAACGTTAAAATACCAACAGTCGCACAGTTGCAGGCTTTCAAGAACGAGGTAGCCGTTTTACGGAAAACTCGTCATGTCAATATTCTCCTTTTCATGGGTTGTGTTAGTAAGCCGCAATTGGCAATAGTAACGCAGTGGTGTGACGGTAGTAGTTTATATAAACATTTACATGTGGCGGAAACCAAGTTTCTGTTGTTGACCGTTATTGAAATTCAAAGACAAATTGCACAAGGAATGGAATACTTACATGCCAAGAATATTATACATCGAGACTTGAAGTCAAATAACATATTTCTGCACGACGACTTGACTGTGAAAATAGGTGATTTTGGTCTAGCAACTGCAAAAACTCGATGGTCTGGATCTCATCAATCTCAGCAGCCTACGGGGTCTATTCTGTGGATGGCTCCAGAAGTGATTCGTATGCAAGAAGAAAGTCCTTACAGTTTTCAAAGTGATGTATACGCATATGGAATTGTAATGTTTGAATTGCTGTCCGGACAGCTTCCCTATGCCAATATTAACAATAAAGACCAAATACTTTTTACTGTGGGAAGAGGGTATCTGAGACCCGACCTGACTTTACTAAAGCAAGATACTCCAAATGCTTTGCGGCGGTTGCTTGAACAGTGCATAAAGTATGATAGAAATGATAGGCCCCTCTTTAGACAAATTTGTTCATCATTGGAAAATTTGTTACGAAATCAACCAAAAATAAGCAGGTCTGCTTCAGAACCTAATATGAATCGGACCACTTTATCTGATGACTTTAGTTATACTTGTCAAAGCCCTAATACACCTTCCAGATACAGCAAACATTTTATGTTCTATGGAGCTACTGGGAATATATAAGCAATTCCCATGATTGAGGATTGGGTATGTGTTATTTTGAATGCAAGTAGATTTCATTTTTTGTTTCATTGATATCACAAATTGTATACTTTCATGTATGTAATATTATTCTACATTTGTATTTAAATAGTCACTCATTGTTATAAAGCAAATTACACCTGTCTAAAGTGTTTATTTATATTTTGTGTAATTAATGTTGTGCATATCATTATTTAATGATTTGAAAAAGCTAGTCAAGTATAACGAATAAGATACTACTTCCACAAAAAGTCAGAGTATAGATTTCGGTTGAACCAGTATTTTGGATTTGCACTTCCTTAATAAAGATTATACGTTTTTTGTATGTAAGATATATTTAAATTATTTGGACTAATTAGATGGACAACCTACGAAAGTGAAATGGATATACATAAAAGTTATACTAATTTCCTAAATAAACATATATGATTTTGATTATTATTTTTCAACTCCGTGCCTGAATATTTCAACAATTACTAAATGTATAAAATGATGCTTTACGAGCTTAAATTGTCAAAATGGGGAATCAGTCCGTCTGAAAAAAAAAACTTGTGCTACAACATACCATTTGACAAAAAATATATATAATATACCCTAAATGAATGGATAAATCTGGCAAACTACATTTATGGTTTTGTTTTATGTCATAACGAAGAGGTCTGTTATCAATATCTTTCATACAAATGGCAACAAATTATCTTCAGTCGTCAGCCCCTCTAATGCAAGATTTCATCTCCGAGTCTACTTGATTCTCACCAAAAGTGGGAAATAACAAACATACAACATCGATTTGTTTACATCTACTTGTACTCTACTGTACTGTAAACACGGTAATCAAAGTTTCCATAACTTTGGTTAAAATGGAATGCGTTTGTTTTACAATCTAAGCCCTTAACTTTTTTGTAACTGTAACACTGTCTTACGGCCATCTGTAACGATTGATGATGAAAACAGGTGTTTCAAAATGTGTATAACCAGTTTGAATATTATGAGGATCACTGATAGAAAAACGCCGCACTAAAATTAACTAAAAAAAATTAAATCGGCGGTAGGTTTGACGTTCATGTCTCGAAAATATGAACTCTTGAGAATATCGGTTGACAAACAAGTCAACGTTACATTTGTGGTTAGTTTTTAAATTGTGATCTTCAAAACTTATCAAATTAAACTTCCTTGAGGTTACTCTAAATAAAAAATTTCCGCATAGTAGATTTGCGAACCGATTCATGTTTATTGCATTGTCGTAAATTGATTCTTATCAGAAAATGACAAATTTTCCAAATAAACTGATGAATTCTGCAAATCTCTTCAATAGTCTCCCACTGCCGGAAGATTGATTGTACTTGCGCGCAACTCCGTGTTGTCATGAGACCTTAAAAAATATACATCAGTTTATTTACGTCTACTTGTGCTCGTTTTGAATACCAAATAAATCTGATAAATTTAACATATTGATGTTTTCGTTAATTTTACACCATTTGTACAGGCTACATTTCGATCGGTTTATCAGTCTGAAAACGATGTGTATAGCCTCCATAAAACCCTGTTTTTTCGCCATTTAAAATTCCTCTGTGAACGTTATTTCCACATACCGCCAGATGAATGAAGCCGATTTTAACTAACCCTGCATAATGAATTTACATATGTATAGGAATCACATTATGTTGAAAATAGTGATATAATAAGATTTCCAATTTTGATTGTACGCCCGGAGTTAAATCTCATTTCTCGTTGAGTTATCTAAGTACAGCTATCAGAAGACCTAAAAGGGTACATCAAAGTGTAAAACTCACTTCCTTATTTTCCACTGTACTGATAATGCTGAGTGTGAATCCGCATTATCTGAACGACCTGAGTCTGTATCACAGGAAAAAACACAGAACTTATTCTCTAATAAATTTAAGTTATTAGCCATTGACATTATATTGAATTAAAGGAAAGTAAAATTAAAACCTTCATAATTAAAACTTGGATCTGAACTACGTTCAACAATTTTATTTCAATAAAAAATAAAACAATAAACAATTGAAAAAATTATAAAAATTTTTAAACTAAGCCTACTTTCTCAAGTCAATACTAATGACATTAAACAAAGAACACATTTCTTTTAACTAAAACGTTTTCTAATGTGCAGTCCATCGATAGATGTTTTAAAATTCATCGTTATTTCTCACGTCTAAGTCCTCACGCTTTCTTATCTTCATTACTGTTGGCAACTTCCAACCACAACATTTCAAATTCTTCTTCTTTATCCAACACATTGCTGCAAGAAACACTTAATTAATATGCATCACATGGTAATTTTATTTCAACCTAATCTAATCATTGATTGGAAGACAGGCCCAGAACAATCTGGTGATTAAGTTACTGCACTTCAATATTTTCCTCAATCATGAGTTTTTAAATAGAGATGTAAAAATGTAATAATTTAAACATTTTGCTTAGAAATCCATTTATCGAATTACCTTATTTTCATCGATTTATCTAGTAGATTATCTAAAGCTCCTAATCTATACAACATCTTTGTGCCATATTTAGCCGCTAAATCTCTTGAATTCTTTTGGCTTACACCTTCTCCCAAACATATCTAGAAAATTATTATCTATAATATCTCATATTACAAACTTTTATAACAGTAACATACAAAAGGGGGTTCGTATCCCAAGTCCAATAACGAGTACGATTTTGCTCGCTCCACAAAATCAAGATATTGTATATTCAAATCCAAAATTTTTCCAATTTTGAATAGTTCAGTTGTTGGAGACCTATGGGCTTTACTGGCATCATTTTTATGGGATTTTGAATCGTCTGTTGGCTGGTGGAAGCCAAAAACAATTATAAGTGCTTTGTTTAAATAGCTTTAATTTCAAATATGCAAACCTTTTTATTTCCAGTAACTGTGTCAACTAAACCCTTTCCATAATCTACCGCATTGTCAAACATTCTTTCAATCTTATCAAATGTGGTTTTGATAACTTTGTTCTTTTTGTTTTTATTGGACTTTTTGCTTCGCGGTAGCTCAGCTACATGTTTACCACTTACCTCAGTTATTTTCATTAACTGAGTTAGTACATTTTCAGCAGCCACTCTTTTAGATTCTTTTTTTGACTTTCCTTCACCGGTTACTGTTAGATCTCCAACGACGCATTTAGTGGTAAATATTTTTTTATGAGATGGACCTACTTCATCTATGACCTCAAATGTAACCCCTAAGTTTCTCTTTTGCGCTGCCTCATACACCAATGAAATTGGAGATTTCGGTTTTTGGCCGATCTTGTTGCAATTATCATCTGCAATAAGATCAGCAAATTAAATAATTTTTGATATCTTATATATTTATATTTTATCCGCTTGCCTTCTCTGTGGCAGTAAAAACTTTCCTCGTCTTCTTTCAAACTTTTCAAAGCTTTAGCTGCAGCTTCATGTTTGGAGTTCTGCAAGGTATGAGCTTTTCCAAAAAAATACTTTCCATTTACCTCCACACTCATTATAAATGGTCCTTTTGTATCACCACCATCTCTTCTTACATGAATAGTGTCATTCATGTGTACTGTATCATTTAGCTTTTGCAAGTAGGACTTTTTATGTGAAAATGCGTCATTTTTATTGCTCGACCCTCTCTAACAATGGTGAAGAAACAGTTAAATTATCCCTCAATTATATCATATCAAGTGAGTGGATAGGTTTTCGGACTTTGTGTCCGTCGAAGCACAAGGGTGCTACATTCTCAAGGCGAATCTACGAAGAAATGCTAAAGGTTGTCTCCCACTTGAACCCCAAATATAATCAATAGACAACGGTACATTTGCCACGTCGACGGGATTGATGTTAGATCGCGTCAGAGAAAATACTCAGTCGAAACTGAGGGTCTATTCGAGTATAAGAAAATCTGAGGTGTAATTATTTTATTAACATTTTAATCCTTTATAAGAGTAATCAATAAGTAACGTTTTTACGCCAATAGATTCGGCCCGATGCTGCTTCCAATAGAACCATCCAAAATCAGCCCTGTGCTGTATCATAAATGCTATTTTTAACGGCCACACGTTATGGCAACTTAACAGTTCAGGATAACATGCACGTTAAAGTTAACGTGAGTGATACAGCACAGGGCTGAATATACTTCAAAGTATCACTAAAAGTGTTGCTCTTAAATTTCATTATTCGAAGTTAATGGTCGTATTGGTAATAAGTATTGTATTTTTTAAAGACATTCAGCCCTGTGCTGTATCACTCATATTAACTTTAACGTGCATGTTATCCGTCAAACACGTTATGTGGCTCCAACTGGTGTGTTCACTTCAGTCAAATCAGTATATCATCAGTAAAACCTTTATATTATAACAGGCGCACGCTATCGACGAACGTTATATTAAGAAATAGCGCTTCAGAATAACAGCATCAAATCACATGCCGCTTTCGAACTTAACGTGCATCCCTCGAAGATAACTTCGGGGAATAAATAAAACGATTGTGTTTAATCAGAGCGTAGTTTTGTCTTTTAGCTATAATTTGTTTTTAATTTAAAAGAAAAATATCCCTTTTAGTGGTCTTATAAGGTTAGCTTTATTAGAATAATTGGAAAATGGTCTTGAAAATAAACTTCATTTTCCTCCACAAACTCTACTAAATTTTCAAATTGTTTGCGGGTTGTTTTTTTGCCTCTTCTGTACATGCTCCATTGAAAGTGTTTGAGATGATAG